CTGGCAACCCTGGCAGCCCTGGCAGCCCTGGAAAGGGGGACACACGGGAGGCTGAGGGTGGAAGATGCAGTGAGGTTTATTGCTCTTATTCATCGGTTAGGTTCTGACCTTTTCCTTGAGTGCATTTTTACCACCATTTCTCCTGTTTAGGTCTGAGGAGACTTAAACCCATGCTGGAATTTGGGGAAAACTGTTTGAAGATGCCAGTCTGAGTTCTGGAGGCGTGATAGGCACATCCCCGTTGATATCCAAATTGGAACGACTTTCCTTGTTACCAGAAAACAGCTGGTGTCTGCAGACCTTCCCGTGGTTGGCGGTGACACAGGCTCCTGGAGTCTCTGCTCTCTTAGAGAGTTCCTGTCTGGAGCCACCAGGAAGGCAGCAATCTCCCCTGGGGCCTCGGGGCAGGAACCTTGTTCTGTTCTCTGCTGTATTCTGAAAGCCTGGGAAGTAGCAAAGTGCATTTAATGACAGATCTCTATTTGTATTCCAGATCTGTCTCTTGGGCGACCCTGGGCGAGATTCCTAACCTTGATCCTTCCTCTGTAAGATGGTGATCCTGAGAAATTTATGGTGTAAAAAATGCACATAAGATTCTTAGCAGAGAGCCTGAACACACATAGAAGGAGTTCAGTAAGTGTGAGCCAGTATTAGATAATGTTTCTTGAATGAAGATGTGGACGGAACAAGCCATGACCTCAAGCCACGGCAGTGAATGACACGTAGTGCCTGTGGGCATGAGGGAGTCCTAAAGGCCTGGCTTTGCGTGTGCCACTTCTCAACAGAGCCACTGGCTCCAGGACAACTGTTTTTGTCTCTTGGCAAAATTGGGAAAGCGAATGGAGTGCTCTTAATTAACCTGTGTTTGAATTTACTCTGTAGCTGCTGGACTCAGTTAAGGAAATGGACGATACCAGCCTCTCACCAGCAATTCCCTGAGCTTTTCCATTTTTTTTCTTGGAAGGCCTGGGATTCCAAAGACATACTCCACATCCACGCCAATCAGACACCAGGGCAGTGATCAGATATGGCAGTTCTGTACCAATGCGACCGTTGATAGGATATTTACAAACTTCCAGTGTAATCAGAGGGGGAGAAACCCCCTAAACCTACAGCTAAGGTTTAGGTTTGCTTTCTGTGTGTGTACAAAAAAAAAAAAAAAAAAAATCCAGATGTGAATCTACAAAACATCTGGTTGGAATAGCTTTTATGCTGGACTGTAATTACAAGCTATTTATTATGAATGTTGGGATCCTGTGATGGATACTGACCGGCTCCCAGGTTTCTAAGTCAGCAAAGAGCTCCTGTATTTAAGTGCGTGTACACCTTCCCACTTATCAGGCCCAGAGTAAGTCTGCACTTTGACTGCCCCTAGAGCTTCGAACTCTCCGTATCTGAAGATTCTTCCTTTCAGAGAGGAGATGCACTTGGGAGTGGCCCTTGGCCAAGGCTGCAGCCACGTTTGCCGAATGCATAAAGCCAAGAAGTTCTGGTAACAGAAGCTCTGCGAATGAAGTTCCTTTCACAATTGTCCTGGGGTGGGAGAGTCAGAATCACAGTATAGCTTGCAAGAACTGCGCTTTTCAAAACAAAGTTACCGTCAACAGTGCCAAACAGCATATATACCCCAGAGGGAGCAAGACCCCGTCACAGTTCAGAGACAGAGAGGGCAGGGTCCGGCCTTCTAGCCCTAGGGACCCGTTTGGATGGGACTGCCACTCGCGACCGTCCTGGTACTGGAAGATAGGACTTTGTTAATCTTCTTCCCCATAGCTCTGCTGCGTAGGTCTACGTCATACTCAGAATAACTACACATTCCTTCGGTCTTCCTTCAAGCTGCAGAGCAGTTGCTACAAATGCTTTATTGAAACTGAATACATAATACATACAATGAGAGTAAGACAACATAGGGGTCCGCATGGTTACATCCTGTTCCTTGGCCATTGAGGCAGCTCAGTGGCTGAGCCCGGTCAAGCCAACCCACACTTCACTCACAACTTGAAGATCTGATGCTAATCCTTTTGGATTTCTACAGTTATTAAATACGTGTCTGAGTGGAAAAAAATGTCCTTGAGTACTTAGGTGGGAGTGGGGAGATGATTAACTTTTAAAACATGTGTCTCTTTCATTTGAATGGTTTCCATAACAATGTATGACTTTTGTACCTTAAGAAAAAAATTATAAAAATAAATCTAAGGACCGTGACTTATAGTTAGCCTTGAGGCCACCATCATCATGGAGAAGACGGGGTGAGGGAAGGAGTTCGGGGGGACGCGGGGCCAGCATGCTTGGCTTCAGATTGTAGGTCTGCTGTTCACAAAGGGACTGTGGACAGCTCCTATCCCAGCTCAGCCCCAGCGGCCACAGAAATACCCTCCCCACAGCAGTGGTTTTCAACCCAGCGTTCGTTGGAATTACCTGGGAACTTGAACAAATACCCACGCCTGGTCCTTAGATGAAACAGATCTGAGCTTCAGGGGTTGGGAGACCACACCAGTGTTTGTGAAGAACGCCACAGGGGTACTAGTTTGCAGCTAAGGATGAAGGATCCTATCTCACAGGATTTTAGGAGTAAATGAAGTTAGTCCCTTGAGGGCACCGACCATTTACAGATCCCCAAAAAAGAAAGAGAGGGAGAGAGAGAGACTGGATGACGGATGACTCAGGTCACCCTCCCATCATAAGGAGAACCAGAAAAAACCAAACAGCAGCAGCAACCCCTGCAGGTGTGGGGTGCAGGTGACTGTGGATTGGGGTTCAGGTGACTGTGGATTGGGGTTCAGGTGACTGTGGATTGGGGTGCAGGTGACTGCGAATTGGGGTGCAGGTGACGACTGCGGATTGGGGTGCAGGTGACTGCGGATTGGGGATCTCCTTTCTCTGGGTGTTGGACAGGTCCTGGGACTGTTCGGGAATATTCAGCTCGTTCATCCCAGTGTTCCTTAACTGAAATGAGAGTCGTTTTCTATGTGTGCTACTCAGTGGACAAGTTTGAGCAACGCTGGTCATGGCTGATTGTTTCTGTGCTCAGCTGGCCTTGCAAAAGCCATGGGGTAGGGAAATAACCGGACTGATGCGGAAACAGCTGTAGGCAAGGCAAGGCCCAACCCTCCCCATAGAACTCACTCGTGGGCAGTTATGACTATGAGTCAGAGGGAGTGGGGTTCTGGGACTCGCAGATTTTCTGGTCTTTGAGAGGAGATGGCAACCTAGATTTACTTTAGAACTAGACCCTGGAAGCATGTTGGGGGGCTCTGGAACTCGCAGGGAATTTCAGGGCAGCATAGAAGGTGACAAGTTTTATTTTGGAACTACCTTAGGGTTGGACCGTGGTGCTTGAGCTTGATGTGGGCTCCCAGACTCCAACACACACACACACATATGTGCACACACACAAGCTTGCAGGCACACGCACATACACACATGTACACACACAAAAACACTCAGGGACACACACATGTGCATGTGCACACACATGCAAACACATGTGCACACACACAAGCTTGCAGGCACACACACATACATGCATGTACACACAAAACATTCAGGGGCACACATATGTGCATGTGCACACACACAAACACATGCACACACACAAGCTTGCAGGCACACGTACATACATACATGTACACACAAAACATTCAGGGGCACACACATGTGCATGTGCACACACACAAACATGCACACACACAAGCTTGCAGGCACACACACATACATACATGTACACACAAAACATTCAGGGACACACACATGTGCACATGTGCACACACACACACACACACACACATCCCTGCAGGCTTGCATGTATCTCCTCGGTTCGGAGAAAAAACTGGTGAGATCTCCCTTAGTCTCATGACATTGAAACATATTGATTATACTTGAGGAGTGTCTCAAATTTGTTGTCAGGGTCGAGTCTGGATTTGTCTTTTATTAATACATATCCCAAGACAGTTGTCGATTCGTTTCAAGGTGAGCAGAGCTGGCCAGTTGCTCCTCTCCAACCTGCCTACAAATCAGGCACTGGTAGTGCTTGCTGTCATCCAGCGAAGGGCACAGGTGTGCACGATTTACGTCTTCATCTTGAATTCCATCTCTCCCACTGGAAAGCTGGGTAATCCTGGACGAGTCAGCTGCCTTCTCTGAGCAGCGGTTTTCTTGTTTGTGAAACGGGGATAATGATACTGACCTCACAGAATCTGAGTGAGAAGGAAAGCGCCTAGCATGTGGTCTCCACTCGGTAAAGCTCACATTTTGTTGGATTTTTGAGACAGTATTTTTGGTTCAGGTGCATACAATCCACATACGAGCAGGCATATACAGTCACATTTGTATCTTCTCTAAGACATTTCGACAGCTAACCTTTCAGGAAGAAACCAAAGATGCAAATGTCCACCACACTTTCATTAGCGTAAGTGCTAATAGAACGCAGCCATCCCACAGCTGTAAAACACCGACGACCGTGTCTCTGCTTGGAACGTAGAATATTATTTTTTCTTTTGCCGAGCCGATTCAATACTCAATTTTGTGACTATTTGAGTTGGAACTTTAGATTGCTGCATTTAATGCACTCTACTATTAAGGATTGTTGGACAGCCGCGTGAAAATATTTTTGTTGTCACGATGCTGTCCTGGCTCAGGTAGCCGAGCAGGCAAAACATGGTTTACATAAATAATATCGTTTCTGTCGTGTGTACTAAAAAGAAACCTTAGAACAGAGCGGGAGACAACTTCTCCCTCGGCAATCGGTTATCCAGGTGAAGCTGGCTTTTTCAAGAAGGGACTTTTCCTCTCCTCTCATCCAACTCTGATCTCCAAAGTCCTGCTTTCCTGGGTGGGAATTTCTGTTTCAGGGACAGCAAAATCCTATCTGCTCTCACAGTGTTTTCTTGCCAAGTAAAGGCAACATAAGAGGCGGGCTGGGAAAACCTCTACCATGTGATAGGGTTTGGGGGATTCTGTGTGGTGCTTATTTCAAATGTCTCCTGTCTCTTTTTACCTAGAACAAGGAAGTGACATGTAAGAGAGAGAAGTGCCCCGTGCTGTCCCGAGACTGCGCCCTGGCCGTCAAGCAGAGGGGAGCCTGTTGTGAGCAGTGCAAAGGTGATCGACGTCTTGGCCGTCCTCTCTTTCTCTCACCTTTCTTTTCACTCAGCTCTTGGCTGGGGTGCACGCGAGTGGGGAGGAGAGGGTGTGTGTGTGTGTGTGTGTGTGTGTGCGTGTGTGTGTGTCTGGGGCTGGAAGGAAGGGTGCTCTCCTAGGAGAGACATGAAACTATGTGAGCATCAGCATATTTGCTTTATTGTCTAAGGCAGGTTGTTAAAATGTTGTAGAGAAGAGGCGATCACCATGCCCTGCATATTTGTACACACGCTCATGAACATATTTTGTCGGCAAGTTTCAACACTCAGTTTTTCCAGGCTCCACACTCACCCTACCCACCTCTGCCTTAGAAGTCTTTAAGTCTGTATTTTATCATTTTGGTCCTCATTAAAATTTTCCTTTCCTTCTAAAGTAGATCTAAGTCCCTTCGCCTGTCTTTGAAGCATCTCTAATGTCTCCTCACTCCAGCCTCATTTTCCATTGCCCTCCAGCCCCATGCTCTGTCTGGAATGTGCTGTTCCTGGTCTCACTTCTCTCTTGGCCTTAGCCCAGGTCGTTTCCCCAACCTCTCTGGGTGCTGCCGTGTTCAAGGTGCCCAGCCCTTATCTACCATGTTCCCCTTTAGATTTCTATGACCTCCAGAAGTCCACATGGATACTGCAGTGGTGTGATTCCTCCCCTCTGTGTTTCGTGCAGATGGTCGGCTCCTTGGGGATTTCACACTGTCGATATGTCAACAGTGCTTCACGGCGTGGGGTAACACAAGAGGCAGCGTTAGCCCAGTGTTCACGGTGTGGGGTAACACAGGAGGCAGCGTTAGCCCAGTGTTCAGGGTGTGGGGTAACACAGGAGGCAGCATTAGCCCAGTGTTCACGGCGTGGGGTAACGCAGGAGGCAGCATTAGCCCAGTGTTCAGGGTGTGGGGTAACACAGGAGGCAGCGTTAGCCCAGTGTTCACGGCGTGGGGTAACACAGGAGGCAGCATTAGCCCAGTGTTCAGGGTGTGGGCTCTGGGGTCACCCTGTTGAATCAGAATCCGAGTGTACTGGGTGGCAGAGTGTTCCCCAAAATTTCACATCCACTTGGAATCTTAGCATGTGACCTTGTTTGGAACTAGGCCCTTTGCAGACACACTTAATTAAAATGAAGTCATACTGAAGTTGAGTGGCTCCAAATTCAATGTGACTGGTGTGTTTATAAGAAGAGGAAGAAATAGAGACAGACAGAGACACACAAAGCATAGCAGAAGCTGGAGTGATGCTGCCACCAGCCTAGAGTGACCAGGGCCTCCAGGATCTAGGAATGGCAAGGAGTAATTCTTCCCAAGTGCCTTCAGAGGCAGCGTGCCCTGCCGACACCTTGATCTGGACTTCTAGCCTCCAAAACGGTGAGACAATGAATGTCTATTGTCTGAAGCTTCAGGAAACTCATGTACTACATTTCCATGTGAGCAGGGGGAGACGTGGACCCTCCCTTGATCTCATCACCTCATTTGTTAAATCAGGACAGCAGGGTCAGGCACTGTGGCTCATACCTGTAATCCCAGCACTTTGGGAGGCCAAGGTGGGCAGATCACTTTAAGTCAGAAGTTTGAGACCAGCCTGGGCAATATAATGAAACCCCGTCTCTACTAAAAATACAAAAAGTAGCCAGGTGTGGTGGTGGGTACCTAAAACCCCAGCTACTGGGGAGGTGGAGGCAGGAGAATCACTGAACCCAGGAGGCAGAGGTTGCAGTGAGCCAAGATCATGCCACTGCACTACAGCTGGGTAACAGAGTGAAAGTCCATCCCCCCCTGCCCCAAAAAAAAGACAAAAACGAAAAATGAGGACAATTGTGTTGGAGGGACTAAGATGGAAAGATGCATTCACCGTATTGCATGTCACCATCTCTCAGGTCATGGAAGTATAATTGATGCCCTTGTCATGCTTGACAGGCTCTCCGTGTGCTGCTCCATGACTGGTCGTGTGGAAGGGAGCCTTCTCATGCCGTGGTGTAGCCTTCTTTCCTTCTTGACCTGCTAGTTCCTTTATCACCACCCAGTCCTCCTCTTATCCTGATCTTTCAAGGGAAAGAGATACCCAAGACAAACACATTTCCTGAACATTCTTTTTGGGCTTAAGATAATAAGCTCTTCTAAGCAAACTGGATCCAAGAGTAGGCCAGCAAATAGAGTGTCCTGAGTTCTCTTCCTAACGGAAATCCCAAGGCATTTGGCGGGAGGTCAAGAATCCTGCCCTTCCCTGAAGTGGATCGTCATGGGAGGGATTCCTGAATGGGTGCTATGGTTTGGCTCTGTGTCCCCCACCAAATCTCTTCTTGAAGTCTAATCCCCATAATCCCTATATGTCAAGGGAGAGACCAGGGGGAGGTAATTGAACCCCCTATGCTGTTCACAAGATCTGATGGTTTTATGAGAGGCTCTTCCCAATTTGCTTGGCACTTCTTCCTGCTACCTTGCGACGAAGGTGCCTTGCTTCCTCTTCACCTTCTGCCGTGATTGCAAGTTTCCTGAGGCCTCCCCGCCCATGCTGAGCTGTGAGTCAATTAGGCCTCTTTCCTTTTAAATTACCCAGTCTTGGGCAGTTCTGTGTAGCAGTGTTGAAAATGATCTAATGCAATGAGTCTGACTTTTCAGGGGCCGTGGGGTGGATGTTAGAGAAGCACCCTTCATTCTCTCTCTTTTTTTCTTTTTATTTTGAGACGGAGTTTCGCTCTTGTTACCCAGGCTGGAGTGCAATGATGCGATCTCGGCTCACTGCAACCTCCGCCTCCTGGGTTCAGGCAATTCTCCTGCCTCAGCCTCCTGAGTAGCTGGGATTACAGGCACGCGCCACCATGCCCAGCTAATTTTTTGTATTTTTAGTAGAGACGGGGTTTCACCATGTTGACCAGGCTGGTCTCGAACTCCTGACCTCAGGTGATCCGCCCGCCTCGGCCTCCCACAGTGCTGGGATTACAGGCTTGAGCCACTGTGCCTGGCCCCATTCTCTCTCTTTCTACTGCATAATACAGTGCTTGTCTCGGGGGTTTTAAGGGACACAGTCCTGTTCACTCTTAAGTACTGGAGACTCCTAGTATTATGGAAAGTTTTGTGTTTTTTTTTTTTTTGATTGGAATTGTAACGTATGCTCATAGGAGAATCCTCAAAAAAATAGTTTAAACTGCGGAGAAGCAGGAAAAAAAAATCTCACCATCCGGAGGTAACAATTGTTATCATTTGATATATTTATGTCTGTATTTTCCCGTGTAAAAGTGTTTACAGGGTTGATATTTTACTACTCATATTGCGTTATTTATGTTTTTTCCCACTTAACATTAGGGCATAACTTCTTTTGTTAATGCATCTTAATAGATGCATAGGATTCTGTTGTCAGATGCACCAACATCCGCTTGGTTGTTTCTGACCACATTTTTGGGCATTTAGGTTGTACCTTGGATTTTAGCTTTGAGTATGAGTGAAGGTGAGAAGCTAAAACCAAAGAGCCTTGTATAGTAAAGGAATGAACTGGAGGGAGGCTCTCACGAGGACACTCCCTGAGGCCCCTCAGATCTGAGTGTTAACCCAATCTGGGTTTGGCCTCCGAGAAATCCCAGTAAACCACTCTGCACCTCTTTTGCATTCTGCATTCATGTAGAAAAAAACAACAACAAATCAGTGTGTAGCAGAGATTCTGAGACAGCAGCAGCAGCTGCACTTCTGATAAGTCCTCCAACAAGCACCTGCATATTCTGTGGAAGTTTTGACTGTTCTTGCTCAATGAGAGTGATTTAGTGAGGAATCATAGTAATGGAGAAGTTTGCTGATAATACTTTACTTTAAAAATAAATAATATCTAAGCACAATTGTCTTAGGATCAAAGAATTTATATATATTATATATAATATAATTTATACATAATATATAGTATAATTTATATATAAGTTAGAACTAAAATTATAATTTTTAATACAAATATATATATTTTTACATTATATATATATATATATATATATATATATATATATATTTTTTTTTTTTTTTTTTTTTTTTTTTGAGACGGAGTTTCGCTCTTGTTACCCAGGCTGGAGTGCAATGGCGCGAACTCGGCTCACCGCAACCTCCGCCTCCTGGGTTCAGGCAATTCTCCTGCCTCAGCCTCCTGAGTAGCTGGGATTACAGGCACGCACCACCATGCCCAGCTAATTTTTTGTATCTTTAGTAGAGACGGGGTTTCACCATGTTGACCAGGCTGGTCTCGATCTCTGGACCTCGTTGATCCACCCGCCTTGGCCTCCCAAAGTGCTGGGATTACAGGCTTGAGCCACCACGCCCGGCCTATATTATATATTTTTATATATATAACATAATATTCAGTGGAGTCTCCGTAGCAAATAAATGGAGCCTCATTTTTCAGAGCATTTAACACAGTGGTTCCCAGGCTTTTTGGCATCAGAGAGCAGTTTCATGGAATACCATTTTTCCATGGACTGGGGTTGGGCTATGGTTCATGGAGGGGACACACAGAAGTACCATCTGGTTGAGAAGTTCTCTGGGAAGTCATGCCCAAGTGCAGAGGGAAGGTATGTTAGTCCATTTCCACAGAGCTATAAGGAAATACCCAAGCCTGGGTAACTTATAAAGAAAAGGGGTTTAGTTAACTCACAGTTCCGCATGGCTAGGAAGGCCTCAGGAAACTTACATTCGTGGTGGAAGGCACCTCTTCACAGGGCAGTAGGAGAGAGAGAGAGACCCAGCAGGGAAAATGCCAGACACTTATAAAACCATCAGCTCTCATGAGAACTCACTCACTATTATGAGACCAGCGTGAGGGAAACCACCCCCATGATTCAATTACCTCCCACGAGGTCCTTCCCACAGCATGTGGGGATTGTGGGGACCTGGGTAGGGACACAGCCAAACCATATCAGAAGAGAAGGAAGACAGATAGCAGGCAAGGAACTGGGGATGTACCAGGGAATGCTTTCCAGAAGAGCAATGCGTATTTATGAACAAGTAA